CGGAGCGGAGCAGCGAGGTCCGAGACGCCAGCACTCTTTCCTATCCGCGCCTGTCGCTGTCAGACGTCGTGTTAGCGCTGTCTTGTTACAGTCCTTCCTCCATCTCTCCGTCAGCGAAGCCGCATTCTGTACGAATGTTGGTCCAATCCTGAGCTCTGCTTAACTTACAATCCAGTCGTCTGAAAAGAGTTGCTGTGTATAAAATACACATCCTCTATCCGACCCATGACCGTAGTCTGATAAGGGTAAAGTGGCCCATGAAAGACATTTTTAACGTTTTATCAACTTTACCCGGAACACGACCAGTAAAATTGACGTTAAAACTATGACAGAAGGGTAAAACATAGCCCCACTTGCAAATTTTTATTGAATAATTTTGTATCATTTTACGAAAATGTGTATGTGATTTTCTGGAAGAGCGCAATTTGATGCTCATTTTTACACAAAACTTTTGAGAAACTTCACTGAAAAGCATTAGATGTAATGGTGTTCAGAAATATAATGTTGTATAAGAAATTCTCGTAATGTAAAGGTTCACGATGTGAGAGACAGAAAACAAATACACAAAATATTACAAAAAACTACCCAAAGTTATTTATAAAACACAGATCACACCATTGTTACGTCATGATTTTCAGTGCACTTTTCTCAATCCATATAAACATTTTTTAATGACATTTTTGAAAAAATGGCCTTTGACCGTTTACTAAAAATGCATAATTTTCAGCTCATTTTCACAGAAAACTTTTGAGTTTTCGAGAATCATAATCAAAGGACTTTGAAGTTATTGTATTCTCAGATGTAATAAAGGATAAAACGCCCTAATTGTAAATATTAATGACCTCAGAAATATGTTTAAAAAAATACAATTGTTTTATTTTTCGATAATATAAATGAATACATCAAAATTACGTTTATGTCAAGATATTCAGTATATTTAGTCCTATCGGTACAAAATGTTTAAAGACAAAAAATTTGGAGCCGTTTTTGAAAAATCCTTTTTTTAAATATTTTTAATATCGACCATATTTCACCCAAACTTCCGCGAAAACAACTAAAACTTTCTCAACGATGAGCATCACATTAATTAAAGAAGTAATTGTAAAGAATAAATTTTTCAAGATTTCAAAATTTCAGAATTATGTAATTTTGTGTCTCAGTGAAAACCATGCCTAAGCCATCTTTAGTGGTGTATATCACTCGAATCTTACATCTTCATCTGGCATTTTACGTCAACGAGCCTTTCGGTAATCAGCTGGCGCCTCCTTTACTATTTGCCTACTACTATTAACTTTTTACACCCTGCTATTGCCTTATTACACCCTGGAGACCCTTGATGTTAGCCGCCACTCCCTCACTGCGCAGTGCCTGGAAAGCGCATTGCGGCCCAGCACTTACTCCCGCCGCTTGTAGATCGTAAATGGGGCGCATGAACCCTTCTGCAGGTACAGGAAGAAAGGTTTAGGTGGCGTTCATGTTGTGGCCCTTACGCCCATTACAGCGCTTTCTCTTCCTAGCACACAGGTAGTCACATTCATTCAACGTTCAGGCCGGGAGAAGACTGAGAAGGAATGAGATACTGACAGTGATCATTGAAATACGCCCCACCGAGTCACGACACTAAAGCAAAATTCCATGTGCAGGCGGGATTCGAACCCGACACCGCAGTTGGCGGGTATCGCCGTTTCCTCTATGCTGCGGAGCCCAGCTGATCTCTTTTTACGTAATATTTAAAGAAAATATTTTGCGGCTGTTCCCATGGGTTATATCGCATATAGTAGTTTCAGGAAATATTAAAATGCTCCAGAATTGTGTGCTTCACGAAAGGTACTCTGTTAGTAGGGAAACTTGATGTAATTCTTGACTAATGAGCAGTTAGGAGACAACCTGGTGGGTTATGGTCTTGCAAACTCATCCAGCGAAAATTGTGCGTTTTAATGAGTATTTTAGCTAATATACTTTTTATAATGTAACTTAAAATTATATTTTGGTTCTAACAATATCAACAGTTTATCACTTTAAAAATACTGAATATTAAAGTGAAATATAATGATGGATAATTTGTGAAGTATCAAGTAATTTATTATAATTATAAAACACTTAGATAGTTATTTAACTACACATAAGATATTAGAAGTATTAAAGTTGTTTTCCCTCCTAGTAAAAAGATTAGTTTTAATGCGACTGTGTCTTAGTTTGATTATGAACTGAATAACACTTTCTATATTCTGTTTCTTCCATTATAATTCATTAAAGGGCTAAAAAATGCTATTATTTTGCCTAGTTCACATAATTTTAGGCCCCCTGCGTTTCCTGTTTAATGAAATGAAAGAAGATTTCAGTGGAGAAGTTGCAGATCAAACAGATAAAATTTCTCGTACACTTGTAGCCAAATAGTTGCATCTGACAGCTGTTTTAAAAACAGTTTTTTTTTTTGGTCGCCAAGAACTGGACCCGTTCCAATTGGCTCAGGATCTCCAGCTGGTCAACTGATTAGCTACATTTCTTAAGGGATCAAAGTGGATATTGGAGGATGGTAAACATGCAGCAAAACAAAAAACATACACCTTCATAAAACTACGTATCACGAGATGCTTCCCCCAGGGAAGTTAAAATATGACTTGTTTAATGAGAAGTTTCACTACCATAAAGAACGAA